TGCCTACCCTTTTGCCTGCTTGGCCTGGGATCAGAGGCAGCTGCTGTCACCACAGGACATCAGGGGATGGGAGGAATCACAGAAAACCTGCTGCATGATCTGGCCAGAAAGATATGTCCACAGTACATGCCAGGTTCAAAAAAAAATAAATAAGACCATGTTGACAAGTGATTGTCTGTGCCCGTCTTCAGAAAACATGCCATCTCGTCAGCAATAACACCTGGTATTTGCCATGCTGGCTCTGGGAGTGACGGCGCCAAGCCTGGCTGCGTGCTCTCCCTTCGTCTGTTTTACTCCGGTTGCCTCGCCTCTCTGCTCCTGCCCTCCTCCTAAAACCTTACCCTCCACCCTCGGCTCACGCCACCGTCAGAACTAGGCCAGCAGCTGCCCGCCGCCCAGCCCACCCCCACCTCCACGCTACTTCAGCTCTGGCGATCCTCCGACTCCTCCCGCTCTAAAACCCAGTGCCCTTCCTCTGCACTGGCCTCACCCCGTGTCCTTATGCCTGTTCTTAGCTCCTTCGTAGCCAGGGAATGTCCATGTCACTCCTTTGCATGTGCACATGGCTTAGCTGTCTGGCTTCACCATCATCGCCTGGCCAGGTGTCTTCCATGGCCAAACCCAACTCCACCCAATCTATGCATGACTCGAACCATGGTCAACTATTGTAGGAGTCCAGCAATGTAACCATTTCACCAGCTGCTGGGCCCCAAGAATAAGACTTCTTAACAAAGACTTGAAGGAAGTGAGCCATGGAGCTCTCTGGAAGACGAGAGCTCCTGGCAGGAAAAATAGCAGGTCCAAAGGCCCTGAAGCAAACACACCTGGCACATTCAGTGGACGGCAAGGAGGCCAATGGGACTGAAGAGGCAGAAATGAGGAGAGGAGACGGTGAGCTGAGAGAGGCATCGGGCAGGTCACTGTAGATTTCAGCTTTTATTTTGGGCAAGATGAGGTGATACTACCAGGTTTCGAGGACAGAAGTGACATGGCTCAAATGAGGAAAAACAAAATTCCTCTGTCTGTATGTGGAAAATAAACTAGAAAGGCTCAGAGACGGAGGCAGGGAGGCTAATGAAAGGCCGCTGCAATGATTCATGGGATACGTCAAGGCAGCCAGGCCAAGGCGGTAGCCCTGGTGGAGTTGAGAGGTGAGTTTGTCTGGGCAAGTTTTGAAGGTCGAGCCAACGAGAGTCCCTGGAAAATGGCATGTGGTGTGAAAGGAAGAAAGGAGTCAGAGATGGCCCCAGGTTATTGGCCTGAGCAACGAGAAGGATGGAGTCCCCAAATGGCGAGATGAGGAGGCTGCAGGAGAAGCAGATTTGAAGGGAGCTCAGCTTTGGCCATGCTATACATGAGGTACATGTTAGGCAGCTAAGGTCAGGCCGTGGGATTAAAAATCTAGCCTCCCTAGGAGAGGCCAGGCTGAAGATGTGAACTGACCGGACAACAGAGAAAACAGAAAGAGAAGACCAAGGACTGGGCCCTGTGGGGAGAAGAGAGAGGAGAAAGAGGTGACCTGGAGGCACAGGGGAGGAAGCATCTTCAGGAAGAGAATGACCCAAGGCTTTGATGGGTCCAGTAAGACAAGGACAGAAAATGCCACTGAGCCCAACAGTGTTGAGTCCATTGGTGACATGAATGACAGGAACAAAAATACGATTGGATGAATACGAACGATGGGGAAAGAGAAGCTGGAAACGTGTCAACAATGCTGTCATAGAACTTGCTGTGAATAGGAGCAGAAAAAGTGGGGTGGTAGCTGAAGAGGGGAGAGAGCTCAAGGACAGGGGGATTTTCAGGGGAATGGAGGAAATTAGCCTGTTTATTTATGATGGGAATTATTTGGCAGAGAGGGAAAGACATCTGTCAAAGCAAAGAGGGGAGACCTGAGCAAGGGAACAGGGTGAGCTTCAGGCACACGTGGGAAGAGAAACAGGGTGGTGGGAAGGCAGGGCCTGAGCCCACAGAGATGGGTAAACTGGTGAGAGAATACACTGATGCCTTCTATTTTCTTAGTGAAATAAGAGGGAAATTCATCTATTGAGAGAGAGGATGGAGGAGAAGGTTGGAGTTTTACTTTTGTTTTCTTTTTTTTTTTTCTTTGAAGGTTGGAGTTTTAAAGAGAGGAGATAGTATAAAATATTTCACAGTTTGTGTGTTCAAATATAAGGACAACAGAAAGAAAATATACAACTGTTCAACCAAGACATTAAAAAAAAATTTAGAACAAGAAAACTCAGTGAATTCAATTGAAAAATGGGAACAAGGATGGCCCAGCCTAGATGTCCGAGTAGGTAGCTGTACTGGACTATAGTGCTAGAAGCCACATGGCTGACTGCAGGTTCAGATCCCCTCCCAATTCAACTGAACTGTGCCAGTAATGTGTGTGCATGCCCAAGATCCTGATGAGCTGGCGGGTAGGGGAAGGGGATCAAGGCATTACAAGACCCTATGGAGGGTCTCTCTCTTTCTCTCATTATCTATCACAAATAAAATAGAGAAATAATTTTTCTTTAAAAAATAGGAAGACAGAAAGATTTAAAAGAAAACATGGTAAAGAAGAAAACATAAAGCCAAACATATCAGTAATCACAATAAATGTGAACAGGTTAAAATCACTAATTTAAAGTCAGAGGCTTTTTATTTGGATTTCACAAAAGGAAATGTTAAGCTTATTTGGCAGCTCAAGCTAATGAAGCTGAACCTGCCATTACTAAAACAAAGTCTGGACATAGGCCAAAATGTAAACAATGACTATTACTAGTTGGTGAGTTTAGAATTAGTTTTATGTTTGTTACACCTTTCAATATTTTCTGAATTTTCGGAGAGGTGTATAAACTGATTTATAACCAGGAAAAAAGGGAAGTTATTTTTCTTTTAAAAAATCCACCAAGGCACTTCAGCAAACCTTCATGGGACTTTCCAAGCCAGTGCTGGGTTCCAAGGAGGGTCTGAAGAAGGGTCCCTGCTCTCCAGGGCCAATGTCATAAGAATGCAGGACAGACAGTGTAAAGATGGGTCTCCAGGGCCAGCAGGTGGCATGGTAGTTAAGGCAGCCAGATCCCCACATGACTGACTGCATGGTTCGAGTTCCAAACCCAGCAGCTCGTAAATCACACTGGATGTGTGTGCATGTGTGCCTAAACTCTGAGACGAGAATAGAGCAGGAGGGATTGTGGTGTGTGTGACTATACCCCCAGGTGACTTCTCCCCCTCCAGCAAGCACACACTCCCTACTGCAAATTTTAAAAGATGGATCTCCTGCAACTCCAAGCCCTGAGTATAGGAAAGAAGAAGCAAGGAGAGCCTCTGAGGGAGGAGACACTCATAGTCCATGTAGAAATGTGGCCCAAGGTGAGCCTGGTGCTGGCATTCTTGGCTGGGGTACAGTGCGAGGAAGGGCAAACTCAGTGAGCCAGCCCAGAGCACATGGTGGGAAGCAGTGGATGGGTCAGGACACAGAGTCCGGGACGGCAGAGGTTGGTGTGCACTACAGAAGAGCGGAGGGAAGAGAGGCTGAGACAAAAAGATGCAGATGGTGCAGGGTGGGGTGGGGTGGGGTGGATAATTCCTGCATGGGCAATCTGTGGCCAAAGCACATGAGAACAAATGGCTGGGCTGCTATCACTGCTGCACCACACACACGCATGTGCTCATGTACACATGAATGTACACGCATTTGCATGCATGCCTATACACATGTACTAACACACACACACAATTATTTGCTGCTTTGTGTTTCTGGCCCTTTAGCCTAGAGGATTAACTGTCACAATGGAAGTAGGGATCTCCACCAGGTCCAACCTTTCCTGACACCCATCCCAATACCCACTGCTGCCTGCCCCCTCCTGTGGTAAGGCATTGCTAGCTGTTGTTGACCGGGAGCCCACCGTGGCTTTCAAGCAAGACTTGACAAGAGGGTTTGCAGTGAGGGCACGGGCAGAAGGTGCAGGGGCAGAGGCTAGAAGACCAGGAAAGAGACAGCTGTGGAGGGAGAGATGTGAGATTGGGAGAAATCCTGAGGAGGCGAAATCAGCAGGGGTTAGCCGCCAATGTGAGTGTGGGGTGAGGAGCCAGAGGAGAACCAAGACCCTGGGCTCCTGGGTGGGAGCTGTGCAGAGAGGCCATAGCCAGTGTGCAGCCCCTGTGGGGAGTGGACTCAGGGAGAGGGAGAGATCGGGCTGGCTTTAGGCAAATAGAGATTGAGGATTTCTCTGGTTGGGGACAGTGGGCACTCCACTGAGGGCTCCAGGAGAGGGTCATTGATGACAGCAAGTGAGCAGAAGTGAGGGCTGTGGCTGCAGTCACCGGGGCCAAGAAAGAGGCACTCACAGCCGACCAGTGTCTTCAGCACGGGATGTTGCTCCAGGCTCAGGCCAGTCCCAAGACTGGGAGGATCCCCTGCTCTTGTCTCCTGAGACAGCCACGGCCCTATCACGGCCACCCTATGACTCAGAGCCCAAGCGTCTCCAGACCCATCACAGGCCAGGCAGCTGGCCTCTGCCTGACTGGAGGGCTGGAGAAGTTGCTGCCCTTTTGCATTCATGCCTCCCTTGGAACTGGGTTAAACTTTGACTGAGGAAGTGCTTACTGAACCCTATTCCATACGTGCCACCTGGTCACACTTTAATTCCAGTCTGGATGACTTCAGTCTCCAAGCTTCCCACTTCCTGAATTGAGCTTTTTCTGGAGGTTGGGGGCAGCCGTGTCTCTGGGGTGATGTTGGCGGTCTCAAGATCACTCCACACAGCCTCAGGTCCCAGTTGCAGCCACGCCAAGTGACAGCAGTGGACAGTCGCCCACAGAGCCCAGGCTAGTCAACGAAACCAGTGGCCCGTGACACGCTCCCGGCTGTCTGGCGGGAGACTCTTGTGAGTGCACCGTGGGGGACGCAGACCTCTCACATTGGCCTCTGTGCCTTGGGCTGGCCTCTGTGAAGGGGCGCCTCCCTGAGGTCTAAGGTGGGCCCCATGGCATTTTCTGAACTGCTGGACCAAGTAGGCAGCGTGGGCAGGTTCCAGGTTCTCCAGACAGTGGCTTTGGTGGTCCCTATCATGTGGCTCACCACCCATAACATGATAGAAAACTTCTCCGCCGCGGAGCCCAGCCACCGCTGTTGGCTGCCCCTCCTGGACAACGGCACTGCCCAGACCACTGTGCCAGGGGCCCTCGATCCCGAGGCCCTCCTGGCCGTCTCCATTCCACCAGGTCCCAACCAGGGGCCTCACCAGTGTCGCCGCTTCCGCCAACCGCAGTGGCAACTCCTGGACCCCAATGCCACAGCCACCAACTGGAGCGAGACGGCCACAGAGCCATGCTTGGACGGCTGGGTCTACGACCACGGCACTTTCACCTCCACCATCGTGACCCAGGTAAGGGCTCCCCGCGCCCATCCCAAGTCCCAGCACCGTGGAGGCCAAAGTCGCAGATCGCGGTTGGCTGGACTCCAGAAGGTCCAGTCCTGAGGGGCAAGGGGGAACCTTCCCAGGCCTTCCTCACTCTCTGGAAGGCTGCCAGCCCCTGGGCAGCCACATGCCCCACAGGGAATTGGGGGGCAGGAGTCTGCCTACAAGGGATGGCAGCTGGGCTCCTGGAAGTGCTGAGTGGCACCTGAGACTGGGCACCTCTGAGCGATTGCACCTGCATGTCCTGCCTGCCCTGCTGGCCTCGCTCAGAACCAGCCCAACTGACATATGTCAGCTGCGACTCCAGGCGGCTCAGTGCGCAGGGGACTCAGTGACTATTCACCGAGTTCCTGGAAGGCAAAGCACACACTCCCAGAGGGCTTCCCAGAAGGGGACTTAGGCAAATCTTGGGCAAAAGGGGAGGAGCGGCTAGTCCTAGTGAGTGGGAAGGGAGATCTTTGTATGGGGCAGGAGGCAAGTGACTCCTATAGGAGGTGAGAAGCGGGTCACTGCTACAGTTGAGAGGGATGAGGGGGCAACAGGTAGGGGAGGCTTGATCCCTGATCCATTGGGCAATAGGGAGCCATGGAGAAGCTTAGGTAAGGGGTGACAGGCTAGTCCTCTCAAAGCCAAATCACACTTGTCCCACAGGGGGGCCTAATATACGACCCTAGAGGTTGCCAAGCCAGTCACCCCAGGCAAGCTCCCTGGGGGCCTCCCCATTCATTCTTCGGCCTCTTCCCACCTGCGTTCAGCCTCCCTCCTCTTCCATCAGTGGGACCTGGTGTGTGACTCTCGGGCCCTGAAGCCCATGTCCCAGTCCATCTACTTGACTGGGATGCTGGTGGGAGCTGCTGTGTGTGGCCATGCCTCAGACAGGTGAGCATCCCCTCACTCTGATCTGGGCAGGACCCCCTTCTTCTGGCTCTCCCCACACTCCAGGCCCAGCCCTGACCAGCCCTGAACTGGCCTCCCACAGCCAGGTCTAGAAAGCTCCCTGCTTATGGTCAGGATGCTGCGTGGGCCTTGGACCTGCCCCTGCTGTGCCTCCTGAGCCAGTTTCACGCCCTCGCTGAGCCTCAGGCCCACAGACTACTCCGGGGTTGTAGAGTCATTGCTTGCATCAAACGTGCCTGCTACACCTGCTCCCCAGTGCTCCTGGTGACCGCGAATACGTTCCCCGCTGGGACTTTAGAGGTCTCCTGTGCTCACGGTCCTTTCCTGGCTGGAGAATGCGGGCCTAGCCCTGGGTGTCGCTTTAGCATCCACCTTGGCTCAGCAGTAAGCACAGGGTGGGCTCCCGTTGGTCCAGACCCGTGTGGTGGGTGCTGTGGCAAGCCATGGGTCGTCACCTTCCCAGCGCGCGCGCGTGTGTGTGTGTGTGTGTGTGTGTGCACAGGTCTGGGCGCAGGCTGGTGCTGACCTGGAGTTACCTTCAGATGGCTGTGCCAGGCACGGTGGCCGCCTTCGCCCCCGCCCTCCCCGTGTACTGCCTGTTCCGTTTCCTGCTGGCCTTTGCTGTGGCAGGCGTCATGATGAACACAGCCACTCTCAGTAGGTCCCCAACCTGGTGTCAGGCAGGGGAGGTTTCGCTCAGGCTCCAGGGGTGACCGCTCAGTCTCCTTGCAGTGATGGAGTGGACATCAGCACAGGCCCGACCCCTGGCGATGACCATGAACTCTCTGGGCTTCAGCTTCGGCCATGTCCTGATGGCTGCAGTGGCCTACGGTGTGCGTGACTGGGCGCTGCTGCAGCTGGTGGTTTCCATCCCCTTCTTCCTCTGCTTTGCATACTCGTGGTGGGTGCCATGCCCCATCCCCATTCTCGGAGGAGACCCTGTCCACTCTCCACCCGGAGGGAATGGGACTCTCTTTTCCCTGGGGGCAGGAGGCTAGGGATGCTGAAGGTTTGGGGCGCATGGGACGGAGGAAAGCCACAGGAGTCCAGCACAGCAGACCAGCCGCAAGCCTGCAGATGCCCCAGCGATGGCTCTGGTGCCCAGGACACTGTCCCAGTCCTCTGCGTGCCTCTTCTCCCACTCAACCTTCTCCTTCTCCTTCCTGCCTTTCCCCTCCTCCTTTCCCTGCCTACCTTGGCATACGTGCACCCAGGCCTGTTCACTAGAGAACAGGGACCCAGTCATGAGAAGAGACCATAGTCTGGAGACCATAGTCTGCACACAATGCTGGCATGTATGAGAGGTTAGAACATGCCAACATCGCTGAAATAAACCAGGCAGAGCTTTTACTAAGTATCTGGCACATAGTAGGTGCACCATAAATATTTGTTGGATAGATGGAAGGATGAATAGATAGGTAAGGGTAGAAAAGTAGTTAGATAAATGAATGGATGGATGGATGAGTAGATAAATTAATTGGTGAGTGGGTGGGTAGGTGGATGAATAGATGGATACATGCAAAGATGTCTGGATGAATGGGTTGGTTGATGGATGGATGCATGGGTGGATGGATGGTTTGATGAATGAATGGATGAATGGATGCATACATGGATGGATGGATGGATGAGTTGGTGGGTGGAAGCATGGATGGATGGATGCTTACATGGATGGATGGATTGGTGGATGGATGGATGGTGGATGTATGCATGGAGGATGGATGGATGGATTGGTGGGTGGGTAGATGGATTGTAGGTGGATGGATGGATCAATGGATGGATGGATGGATGTGCTAGTGAATAGATAAATGGATTGGTGAATGGATGGATGGAGGCATTTATGGATGAATGGATGGATTGATGGTGGGTGGATGGATGCATGGGTAGTGGATGTGTTAGTTGATAGATAAATGGATTGGTAGATGGACAGATGGATGCATAAATGGATAGATTGGTGGTTAGATGGAGAGGTGCATGGAAGGATGGATTGGTGGATGGATGGATGGATTGGTGAATGGATGGATGAATGGATTGTTGAATGGATGGATGAATAGATTCATGAATGGATGGATGGATGGAGGGATGAGTGGATGGATTGGTGAATGGATGGATGAATGGATTGTTGAATGGATGGATGAATAGATTCATGAATGGATGGATGGATGGAGGGATGAGTGGATGGATTGGTGAATGGATGGATGGATGGATTGGCAGGTGGGTGAATGAGTGGATGGATTGGTGGGTGGATGGGAGCATGGATGGAAGCATGAAGCAGAGGCACAGTGGAAAGCAAACACTCACACCCGCACTGGGAGGAAGGCAAACTCCACAAACCTCACTCAGCCTAACAGCCGGGAGTGGAGTAACAATTAGCTTGCAGTCATTCCCAGAGCAAGAGACAATTCCATCTCATGCAGCAGCTCTGTGAGGAGGCAATCGTGCCTGACAGGTGGCCTTCTGTGATGGCAGATCGGCCCCCATCACCAAGAGGGTGGAGGGCGAAGGGAGAAGGTCAGCAAATGGATTCCAGGTCACCCCTCCTGGTGCTCCCATGCTGATGCCGGGCTAAACCCCCTTTCCCTGGCAGACATGCCCACACAGGTGCTGTGGGAGTGCCCTCATTCATTCATTGCTTCATTTATTCAGCAAGTAACTACTAGACACCTAGCAGGATGGCAGTGCTGAGCAAGACAGACGGTCCCCTGTGTGAACGTGGGCATGTGAGGATGACCCTGTGGCTACTACTCCCAGCAGCCCCTCTGCTCTCTTCAAACCACTTTCTCTTCGAGAGAAGTGTGTGCACAGGCTGCTCCCATTTCCCCCTCTGCCTCAGGTAGTCTCAAATTCATGGCAATGAGTTTTCACCCCCTTCTCCACCAACACTTGCCAGGGTCCCCCGCAATGGCCCAGTTGCCATCACATTGTGGCCTCTGCACTGTACAGTGAGCATGGTCCGTGTTCTCTCCCTTGGCTGGTTTCACCCACGCCCACAGCTCCCAAGGGCCATGACAGCTCCCTCTTCCTTATTGCCCCCAAATCCAGCAGGTCATGAGGGCCTGTCATCTCCGCCTCTAATCTGTACCTCAAATCCCCCCTTCTCTCCCTGCTCTGCAAACCCTGAAGGAAGTCAAGGCTTGGGGGGTGAAGCTGGTGACACACCCTGGCTGCTGCTCGGGGGACCCCCATGGGCAATGTTCTGGAGGCAGGGGTGGTATGCAGCAGTGGTCACTGGGGGAGGCTCATGGGCGGAAAAACAGGGCAAGCTTGGTTTGGTGCCAACATAGGAGCCAGGTTAGTGCTGGGGGCGAGATCCTGCCAGAGGGTGAGGTTGGGTCCTTGGGATCTCTGACATCTGGGAAGCAGTGGCTGCTGTCCCAGTCTGGATGAAAGGGCCCAAAGCGAGCTGGGGCAGCAGGGACGGCCAAACATGAGAGGTGAAGGAACTGGCGACGGGCCAGGTGCAGAAGGAGGAGGCTAGAGGCATCCTAGACCCTGCGCCTGAGCCCCGGGGTAGGTGCGAAGCTGTGTTCAGGCTGGAAGATGCAGCCACGGGGTGGACAGGAGGACTGTGTGACATGGGAAGGTGCAGCACAGAAGAGGGACCCCAGCAGCCCGTAAGGGTCCTCACAGCTCCAGGTCTGGTTCCTGAGTGAGGCAGGGGAGTGAAGGGAGGCCGGAAGGAGGGAGAAGGTGGGAGAAGGAGGCAGAACTGCCCACTGATCTCAGCTACCCTGAGCCTGGGGCCTGTGGGTGCCAGGAAGGCCACTCCCTTGGGCAAGGTGGACAGAGGGGCAGTGAGGCTGGCACAGTCCTGGGGCCTCAGGCAGTGACCCCTCCTATACCGTTTCCACTCCAGGTGGCTGGCAGAGTCAGCACGATGGCTGCTGATCACGGGCAGGCTGGAGCGGGGCCTGCAGGAGCTGCGGAGGGTGGCTGCCATCAACGGGAAGAGGGCAGTGGGGGACACTCTGACCAAGGAGGTGAGGCAGCCGGGCCCTCCCCGGGCTTGAACCCGGGCCCTGCAGAGGGCCTCCTGAGATACTGACTGAGGGCTCCAGCTCCCCGTGGTGAGGACCTCAGGGAGGAGGGTCTGCCCAGTGCCCCCACTGCCAGCAGTGCTCTCCCATCCCCCACACTGCAGGTCTTGCACTCGGCCATGCGGGAGGAGCTGAGTTCGGGCCAGGCTCCCGCCAGCCTGAGCACCCTGCTGCGTACACCAGGCCTGCGCCTCCGGACCTATGTCTGCACGCTGTGCTGGTAAATGCCCTAGCCCTCGCCCTGGCCCCGGGCCCAGCCCTGCCTCTGGCCTGCCACAGGGATCGGGGCTGCGGCTGGCATGGGGAACTGTGCCAGTGGGCCCACGGACCTGAGAACAGCTCCAGGTCAAAGCCTGCAGCGGTCGCTCGCCCCTATCGGTCAGCATCCTGGCAGGAAGGAGTCCCGGTCAGGCGGGTTCAGGAGGGGACTCAACAGGGGCCGAGCCCATAGGAGAGATTGAGGGAGGGTTTATCACAAGGGCACTGGGGGCACAGAAGTGCCAGCATGATGAGACAGTCCAGAGACCAGCCCGGACAGAGACACACCACCCCGTCTGGAGGGACTAGGGAGGCAGAGTGGTATTATCAGAACCCTGGGCCCAGGACCACCCAGCAAGGGCCAGAACCACTGAGGTGGAGGAGGGGCAGCTCAGGGAGCAGGACCCATCACTCCCAGAGCCCCAAACAGAGGGAGGGAGGAATACCCTGGCTTCTCCCTCATCCACCCTCCAGGCCTCCCCTGGCCACAGGGTCCCACACTGGCGAGGTGGCGAGGGGACCCGGGTGTAATCCGGAGAGGTCACAGCACCCACCTGTGCCAAGCCAGTAGGTGGAGCGGGAGGCTGCTCCCCAGCTCACTCCCCGCCCTCGCCCCCAGGTTCGCCTTTGGCTTCACCTTCTATGGCCTCGCCCTGGACCTGCAGGCCCTTGGCAGCAACGTCTTCCTGCTCCAGGTGCTCCTGGGGGTGGTGGACTTCCCCGCCAAGACAGGCACCCTGCTGCTGCTGCGCCGTTTGGGCCGCCGTCCCTCTCAGGCCGCGTCCCTGGTGTTGGCCGGGCTCTGCATCCTGGCCAACATGCTTGTGCCCCGGGGTGAGCCGCAGAGCCTGGGGGCTTCCCTGAGGCCAGGGATACCAAGAACAGAGGCCTGTGGCCCCCTCCTCTCCGTGTGCTAGACCAGGTGGAAGGAGGCTGCTGGGAGCATCGGCGGTGGGGCAGCAGGCAGGACGGAGTGGAGGGGCAGCGCCGGGGACTAGAGAGAAAATGAGACGTGGGCGGATTGCAGGGGGAGGAAAGAGGCTCATGGAGGATGCCTGGGGTCTGGCTCTGAGTGACCGAGTGGGAGCAGATTGGGAGGTGGCCGTGAGGTCACTTAGGACCTGGGGCATGTGTGGGGTTTGGGCTCCAGGTAGACTCACAAAGGTTTGGAGAGCGAGGCCTGCTATGCGGGGAGGAGCCTGGGCTAAAGGCACCCCCCAATCTGGCCCCGGGCACACCAGTTGCGCTAACCCCGCCTCCATCCACAGAAATGGGGGCCCTGCGTTCAGCCCTGGCCGTGCTGGGGCTCGGAGGGGTGGGCGCCGCCTTCACCTGCGTCACCATCTACAGTGGCGAGCTCTTCCCCACAGTGCTCAGGTGAGGCTGTGTCTGGGCCGAAGGAGGGGGTGCCCTGGCCTCCCGGGGCTGAGGTGGGTGGGGGCTTCCCCAGACTTGATGCTCACGCCATGCACCCTCTCTTCTCTGTGGTCTCAGAGTTGTCCAGGTATGTCCTGGCCCAACCTGACCTGCTGGGCCGAGTGGGGCTGGGCCGGGGTGGAGGCTGAGGCCGCGGCAGGGCATCCGGGTCACAGGGTGACCGAGGTATCCGGGTCTACAGGATGACCGCGGTGGGCCTGGGCCAGATGGCATCCCGCGCAGGAGGCATCCTGGCACCTCTGATCCGGCTGCTGGGCATCTATAGCCCCTCCCTGCCCCTGCTGGTGTACGGGGTGGTGCCCGTGCTGAGTGGCCTGGCTGCACTCCTGCTACCCGAGACCCAGAGTTTGCCACTGCCGGACACCATCGAAGACGTGCAGAAACAGTAAGTGGGCCAGTCACTTACCCAGCACCACACAGGGAATCCCAGAACTGGGCAGCCTGGCCCCTGGATAGAGGCAGAAGCAGAGGCCCAGAGACAGATAGGACGGGCCCAGAGTCACACCACACATCTGGAAGAGTGAAGACCCAGGGCTGGGTCTCTGGCTGGCAGCGTGGGCTTTGTCCTCTGCTCATCCACCACTGGAGACACAATGGCCTAGATCCAAATCCACCTTGAGAGAGGTCAGGGGAGGAAAGTCCCCTTTGGAAGGTCCCAGACTACTGCTAACGCACGCAGGTGGCCGACAGGGCTGGCACTGCCACCCACCCCCATCACGTACTCAGGGAGCGCAAGTCTGGCCCCCGAGAATAGCAGCAGTATTTCCTGAGTCCTCGGGATGAACACAGGTCAAGGGGCAGGGGTCATCTGCATTCCCGAGACACGCCCTTTCATGTCTTTCCTGAACAGGACAGCAAAGAAGGTGGCACGCAGCATCCCAGAGCACTGGGTCCTCAAGTCCACACAGCTCTAGCCTCCCGGGAAGCCTGTGCTGGGACCGTCAGAGAAGCAGGACAGCAAAGGCCTCCATCTCCCAGGGGCCCGGGGCCTCCCCTCACCAGTGCCCCCACCCCGGGGCTGCCTCTCTTGCTATCTAAGGAGCCACACAGTCCCCACCCCCACACATCGTGGCTGCTGAGAGGAGGAGGGCCCCTCACTGCTCCCTGTTCCACCCACACACCCCCAGAGCTCCGAGGTCAGCAGAGGTTGAACCTCCCCGGCCTCCCCTGGAGCAGCAGAGCCTCAGCTCCTCAGCTTCACCCTGAGGTCCTTGGCAGCCTGACCCACCTGCTCGGGCCCCTCCCCACCCCTAGCCCCACTTCAGCCCCAGGCTGGCCAGGCCTCTGCCTGCAATCCCCTTCCCACCTCCACACCTGAGACGCTCCCCTCCCGGGACACACTCCTCAGGAGCCCCCAGACCTAGGGCTGTGGCCCTCCTTCCAGGAGCCCACAGGCCAACCCCCTTCCCCTCCTCCCCCGAGCCCATGACTTCCCTGGGGGTGGGGAAGGTCCCACTGCCCCTGTCCCAGGATCCACACAGGGCCAGGCTGGAGGGGCACCCGTGCAAGGGATTGAATAAAGAGTGGATAAAGGGAGCCCAGCAGGTGACATAGTGATTAAGGCGCTGGACCCCCACATGGCTGACTACAGTTCAAGTCCTGGACCCAACGGCTTGAAACTCATGCCAGGAATGTTTTCGTGCATACCCAAAATCCTGAGAGGAGAATGCAGAAGAGATTGCAGTGTGGCCATCTCCCTGGGGGATTGATTTCTCACTTTCTGTCCCTGTCTCTGTCTCCCTCTCTGGCAAGCACACGTGCCCAATAGCAAAAATCTCTCAAAAAAAAAAAAAAAAAAAAAAACCCAAAAAAAAAAAAAAAAAAAAAAGAGTGAATAAAAGAACAAACAACTGCTCCTCACCTTCCCCACTGACGGTGCCCCAAATCTGCCCAGGTTGGGGAGAGGGAAGTTGGGGAGGTCCCGGTCGGCACTGCTGGCTGCACCTTTCCCAGGCCAGCTTTCCTACCCTGAGGAAGGCCAGGGGGACTATTTTCCAGCCTCTGTTGTGGGCCAGACCCCATGCGAGACACCACAAAACTTAACCTATTTCATGTTTTCCTAAGCTCTGTGGGGCAGCTGTTGTACCATTTGACAGAGGGATGCCTGAGGCTTGGAGAAACTGGTTTCTGACACACAGCTAAGAGAGCATGGAGTCAGGACCCAGGCCCTAGCTCATAGGTCTCCAGCGCTCAGCTCTGGCCACACGCCCCTCCACCTACCCTGGCCTCCCTCTCTGGGCATGCAGTGATGCCTCTCGAGGGCAGAGCCAGAGCCTCAAAGTCCCTCTCGGAATCAGCCAGGACCCCTCAGAGCCACTGGTGCCACTCACAGAGAAGCGCACTGCAGGACACCCCAGTGGCTCCAGGGCAGGCAGGAGCCATCGCCACCAGCCCTGGCCCACCAGCTGGCCCGACCAGCTGCACCACCCACGCATCCATGGGGTCATGCGCAGAGAGTCTCTGGATCCACCCATGCCTGAGTCACTGCTTCCAGCAGAGATCTGCACACTCTTCCGCACACAGACACATCTGTGATGCTCACACGTGTGTACCCATGTGCACATGCACGCGCACACACACACACACACACACACACACGGGACGGACTTTGGGGAAACAGAAAGCAGCTCCTTGCCCTGGGGTTGCTCCCTGACCTGGTCTCGTTGGTGCAGCCCTCGGGCCTCTGGGGGTTTGTGTCCTTCCTCCCTCGATCTGCCTTTGGCCAACCCCAGGGCTAAAGGTCATGTTTGTAGATGGCCAAAGACAAGCTTATACTGGCCTGTCCTGGTCTCTCTGTCCTTGGTCTGCTATGAGGCTGAGAACCAGCTGCTCCCTTGCTCAGCATTCTTTTTTTTTTTTTTTTTTTTGGAGAGGTTTTCGCTATAGGGCACGTGCACTCACCAGACAGACAGAGAGAGACATAGAGACAGAAAGCGAGAAATCACCCCCCAGAGGGGATGGTCACGCCGCAGTCCCTTCTCCTCCATTCTCCTCTTGGGATCTTGGGCACGCACGCACACGCGCCCAGCGTGAGTTTTAAGCCACCGGGTCCGGGACGCGAACTGTGGTCGACTACGTGGGAGTCCAGCGACATAGCCATAGGGCACGTGCACGGTCCCTTGCTCAGCATTCTTTTTTTTGGAGAGGTTTTCGCTATAGGGCACGTGCACTCACCAGACAGACAGAGAGAGACACAGAGACAGAAAGCGAGAAATCACCCCCCAGAGGGGATGGTCACGCCGCAGTCCCTTCTCCTCCATTCTCCTCTTGGGATCTTGGGCACGCACGCACACGCGCCCAGCGTGAGTTTTAAGCCACCGGGTCCGGGACGCGAACTGTGGTCGACTACGTGGGAGTCCAGCGACATAGCCATTACACTAACTGCTGGTTCCCCCTTGCTCAGCATTCTTGAGCACAAGTGTGTCCAGAAGCTTCCAGAAGGCAGAACTTATGGCTGGTGGAAAATAGCTCCTCCTCTCCCCTGGGATATCCCTCCAGCTCCCCGAGTGGGCAGGGCTGGCCCACCTTCAGTGGCCCTACTCCTGTTCCATCCAGATGGTCACGATCTTCCCAGGGCCAAAGACCTATCTGCTTCCACCGTAAGTCACCCCTCAAGTAACTCAACAGGATTTGGATGTGGGGAGGGCCCAGGGCCCTGCCTGGTCGTTGGTGAGCTGCATTGCCAGTGGGTATCCTGCGAGGGAGAAGCGGCCTCCCTGGCAGCAGCCCCGGGCCTGCACTCCAGCTAGGCAGAGCCCATCGACAGCAGACCTACACCTGGAACACAGCACTTCTGATGCCCACCGCGAGAGTTCTTGGCCTCAGGAGCTGCTGGGGCACCCACAAGGAACAGCCAAAGGAACTGGGCATGGGAAGAAAGACCCCATACACATTGGCAGTAGAGACCTGAGGAAAGTGGCTGGGGACCCTGTTCATTCACCTGCCAAGCTCCTAGGAGGATGTGTGAGGCGGGGCAGAGCCAGGCACTATGTACGGGCTCTGTATCCACCTCCAGGAGGGGCTTCCTCCCAGAAGAGCCCTGGTACTGGCTGGGCTGAGGTTCCCTCCCCCAGGGGCTTGCACACCCAGGGCAGGTCTTTAAGATCAAATGGCATCAACCAGACTCCACTGTGAGTTTCTTCACCAGATCCCTGTCCTTAGTACCCCTGGGGTAGACTCTCCTGAGACACACCTGTGAGGACCACTGTCAAGGAGCCAGGGTCCCTGGAACTTCAGCCATTCCCAGACGCTCTTTGGGACTCCCTCGGGAATCGCTGCCAGGCCAGCCAGCCCCGAGGAGCCCAGCGGAGGCCCAGGTGCCAAGTGTGACATGGGATGCAGAGACTAAGGTCACCTCCTCTTACATATGGCTGAATCCGAGTCTCTCCTCTAACGACAGCACCCTGGAGTATCAGGGGCTCTCGGCCTTCTTATGTAGAGACAGAAACACTAAGTCCCACAGTCATATGGCCACAGCAGGACTGAGGTCCATCCATCTAAGTCCTGAATCGTCTCTCTTTCTGCACCACCCCCCCCACCTCAGTTGACTTCCCTACCTCATTTGGGCTGGTTCTAGAAATTTCTAGAGTGAGATGTTCCTTCACTCCTAGACACCAAGGAACTCCTGCCTGCCTTGGTTCTCTCCTTGCCAGTGATGAGGAGGGAAGAGGGGCCCAAGATAAGCCTCTGTCCCTTGGGAGAACAGCTGCAGAGGTCCCCATGCATGAGGCCATTCCATGCGTGGGACACCTGCCCAAGTCAGGCCTATCCCAGGTGGTGATGCTGCCTGAGGACTCCAAGACTGAGCAGTGGGGGGACCAGCAGGGCCGAGCCTCACCCCTGAGGACTGGTTCAAGAAGGCATGGAAATCCAGACCTAGGGCTTAAGGAGGGAGCCCTGCACTTCCACCTTTGATAGGACTTGGGAGAAGCCTCTCCACAGGTCCTAGGGCACATCCAATGGTGGGGGGGAAGGGGTGTCCCTAGACAAAAACTTCCCTCTGAGATGGAGAAGGAATGGGAGTGGGAGATGCGGCTGTTTGGGGCACCAGAGACAGGTAGGGGCTGCTCAGGCCCATACTGCCACTCCCATGAAGGGTCAGTCCCCTGCTGGGGTGGGGGTGGCACCTGCAAGCATTGCGGTGTCCAGCCTAAAGACAGAACAGAACAGAACAGGCTTTTTTTTTTTTTTTTTTGGG